AGGGAAACATTTTGATGGTATGATAATGTAATAAATTATACAAACAATTTCACTGAGAGCAATGGTACATTCAGGATGACTAATACAATCCCTGAAGTGTGCAACTGGGTCACGTCACCACTGCAATGTCCCACTAAAGCGTACAGTAGATACAATATGAAGATTGGCCCAACCTAATATTCCAGAGCATCTCACCCCAAATTTTGATAGAAAGGCTAGAACTGAATCTGAACTTTGTGTACATGAAGATCTTTCTCATTTATTCATAAATATTTGTTTACTTTAGGACTTCATTCCTTATGGCTCCTGTCACCATTAACTTTGTTTTCTCGTGGCCTTTTCTGAGGCTTCATGTTTGTTCCCACCACAAGGAGCCAGGTCACCAGCTCCGTTCCAATGGCCTTCTGCTGAAGGCAGCCCCTCGCTTATGCACTCACTCGGTCAATGCTGCAGGGCTCCTGCCAATCTAACACCGACATCAGACAGGCACATGCAGTTCAACCCTGCCACAGAAGTGTCCTCACCACAAACCCAAAGCCCTGGCAAACCTCAGCTAGTGGCCAGAGTCTCAGCTCATTGTAACTAGGCCAGTACAGCCCAGTCCCAGAAGCCACCACCATCAGAGGGGTTGACTCCGGCCCCCAGTACTGTAACAGATATGGTTCTGCTGGACCAAAAGATAGTGACTGGAGATAATGTGACTGGAGGCAATGTGCGCCTGCAGCCCAGAAAGCCAACTGTATCCTGGCCTGCATCAAAAGCAGCGTGGCCAGCAGGTTGAGGGAGGTGATTCTGCCCCTCTACTCTGCTCTGGTGAGACCCCACCTGGAGTACTGCATCCAGCTCTGGGGCCCTCAGCACAAGAAGGACATGGACCTGTGTGAGCGGGTCCAGAAGAGGGCCACCAAAATGATCCGAGGGCTGGAGCACCTCTCCTATGAGGCCAGGCTGAGAGAGTTGGGGTTGTTCAGCCTGGAGAAGAGAAGGCCCTGAGGAGACCTTATTGCGACTTTCCAGTACTTAAAGGGGGCCTACAGGAAAGATGGGGAGAATCTTTTTAACAAGGCCTGTTGTGACAGGACAAGGAATAATGGATTTAAACTAAAGAAGAATAGATTTAGACTAGACATTAGAAAGAAGTTTTTTACAATGAGGGTGGTCAAGCACTGGAACAGGTTGCCCAGAGAGGTAGTGGAGGCCCCATCCCTGGCAACATTCAAGGTCAGGTTGGACGGGGCTCTGAGCAACCTGATCTGGTTAAAGCTGTCCCTGCCCATGGCAGGGAGGTTGGGCTCGATGACCTCTAAAGGTCCCTTCCAACCCAAAGCATTCTATGATTCTATAACTCATGCTTCCAAACACCTGACGTTGGCTAATGTCTGTAAAGCTATTTAAAGATAAAAACTGCCATGAAAGTGCGAAGTGTCCTTGATAGTTTTATAGAAATATTCAAAAATTACTTAAAAAAATCTTTCTTCTTTCAGAGATGCCAATTCTGTCACTGTTTATAATTTCATAATATATAGGTAAATGCACAGGGCATATTTTTCTCTCTTTCTGCATCATTCCATCAGTAACGGAAACTTCTGGGGCAAGGGGAAGTGCAACAAAGGAGATTGCAAAAAAGACTCTCCTTGTTGTAAAGCAGATAGACTATGTCCATTATGCTTTACAGTCAGTTCTGATTTGTACCATTGTCACTATCGCATAAAATTTTAAAATTTCCTTCAGGGGCATTGGGAAATGGAGAAATTTGGAGGTATCTGCTAACAATCACCATTTTTTACAGATGACAGTGACTTGCATGATGGAACTGAGATTGGGACTGGCTTCTTCATATACAAAATACATTATCTATTTCCTCTACGATGAGCCCTTCCTATGTCTCCACGAAAGTCATCCTTAAAGTGGAAATTTTCTCGGTATTACATTCTCCTGTAATATGTGTGTTAATCTGGAGTATTATGAATCTCCCTAACCATTTAGTAGTGGGGATGACAGCATTTACCCCTTTAAATAGTCCTTGTTTCATTCCAACAGCAGGTGCAAAAGTCTCAAAACAGAAGTAGCGTGAGCTCCAGTGCTTAGTACATTGAGAAGTAAATAGACAATACACTAGAAAGGAACTATAGGAAGAAACAGTTCTGCACTACAGAGAGATAGACCAGATGACCTGACCTGATGACTGGATGACCATCCCACTCTAAAGTCTAGTAGTTTATAATTTACTCTACATGTTCTCAGTCTGAAAGAAAAGACAGAAGACCCCAAACATAACAACTTTAATGCAGATCTACTGCACACTCAAAAACACCCTGTGTTGCTCACAGCAGCCACTGACTTCTTTATCCCAAGCACACTACTTTAATGCAAAATTCTACTTTTCTGCAGAATTTTTTTAACCCCTAGACATATAAAGCAACAGCTTTGAAAAGGAAGAATTACAGTCAATTTACTAGGTTACATCAATATCTACTTTCCCCTTTATCCCTTATATAAGAGCAATTATGGCAGTCTGGTATTGCCCTGCCAGTATAGTTTCTCTTCCACTTTTTTCTTTTTCCACCGGCAGAAAAGCAGCATCTTAAAAGTTTTCCTGAATGTTTTATTACAGAGGGCGTAACAAATGGGATTAACAGTGCTGTTCACATAGCATAGCCAATATCCAAGGTGCCACAGTGTCAGGGGAATACAGTCAGAGCAGAATGTGGAGATCAAAACCATGATATTGTAGGGAGTCCATGTGATGATAAAAGCCAAAAGAATGGCACTTAAAGTCTGTGCTGCTTTGCGTTCCTTTATGAGAACCATCCGTTTCCTTTTGGTGATTTGGTTATTTATATTTGGATCCATGCTTTTGATGGATGGATCCTTTGACAGAGCAGCAGAACAAGGAGTTATTTTTACTTTACGGCAACCATTGTTGGCTTCCTGGGTGCCATCAGCCTTAACCACCAACCGGAATTTATAGGCCACACATTTTTTATTTTTTTGTATGTGGCCTTTGGCAGGTGACAAAAAGTATTTCTGGTTCTCAAGATCATTTTCTTCAGGTTGATCTTTCACAACATCTGTACTCTCACTAAACTCTTCTGCCTTACCTTTAGATGGACTTTTGTAAGTTACTTGGAAAACTGAATCAGTGGCAAGTTTATCCTCCTCTTCTGAAGATGCATAGCTGCTGCAGGTGGTTAGCTGGTCAGCCTTAGCCCAGTCGTTACCAGTATTCGCTGCCTGAGAGGCTTTCACCGTAGCTGACGTACTTCGACTAGAGGAAGACCAGGAAGCCTGACACCTCTCTCTTTTGACTAAGTTTTGTTGCTTGCAACTGAAGCAAGACTTCAGGAGAGCTTTCTGAGGCTTTATCATCTCAAACTCTGCCACAGACTCTGAACCCTGCAGTTCAGCAAGGTCCTTGGTACGTTTCTCTGTCTCTTTATAGATGCGGCAATACAGAATGGTCATCACGGACACTGGAATGTAAAAAGCAGCAATTGCAGTACCAAAGGTGATAATGGGCTCATATAAAAACTGTATCTGGCACTCTTCAGGTGGTACTGTTCGTTCACCCACAAAATACTGCCAGCACAAGATTACGGGTGCCCACAACACGAAAGAAATTAGCCAAGCCAGACCAATCATGATGCCAGCTCTTTTGGGTGTGCGTTTGGCCCGGTAAGTTAAAGGCCTTGTGATGGAAAAGTACCTGTCAAAACTGATGACTAGGAGGTTCATTACTGAGGCATTGCTAGCTACATAGTCCAGTGCTAGCCACAGGTCACAGGCAAGGCTTCCAAGAGACCAATGGCCTATAAGTATATAGGATGTATAAAGGTTCATAGAAAACACTCCAATGATGAGATCTGCACAGGCAAGGCTGAGCAAGTAATAATTGTTGACAGTTTTGAGCTGACTGTTAACCTTGAAGGATATCATTACAAGAATATTTCCCACTATGGTTATTAAGCTTACAATTGCAGTTACAGTGGCAATAGTAATGACTTCCCAGAGGCTATGCCCTTCTAACTGCTTATGGTTGATGGATGAACTGTTTACAATAGTAGAATTGCTGAATAAATTTACTTCCATTCTTGTTCTTGGTGTATTGTCATCAGGATCTTAGCACTGCTGTATGTTGCTTTCTGTACTCGAAAATATTCTTTTGGAGACAGCTGTAAAGATCAAAGGAAAAAATGTAAAAAGAAACCAGCTCATTAAATAGCACAGACTTCCATTGGAGTTACATAAAACATTTGTAAAACAATCTATCAAATTATTTGTGCTCTCCTTTTGCATTTTGATTATTGTTTCTACCATTGTGAGCATAAATAAAACACACAAATATACATTCTAGGACAATGTACTCTGGCATGTTATGACATTTCTAAATGTAATCAAAACAACTATTTTTTCTTAAGACAGTCAATCACGCCAGCTCTTATATTTTTAATACCTTAGGACATACTCTACATATTCTTAAAGACAGATATTTAAAGTTTGCAGTGCAATAAGACAGTGAGTCACTGTGTTGTTTCCTACAGTACTACGTAGAAGACATGTCAAAATTTCAAAAACTATCTTTGGAAAATTGGAGAAGTCACCAACAACAGAAAGAGAGTAAGAGGAAACTGAGGATGCGTGGGGAGTTAGGAACCATGCTGGCATGGTGGCAACGGGAAACTATTAGGTATTAGAAGTGCTTGGGGCAACTGAGGGGGAATCTTTGAGTTAAGGAAGCAGACAAGGCCAAGAAGATGTTTGTGGAAAAATAAGCTAGGCAGGGAAGACTTTTCTCTATTGGGAGATCTCAGGACAGAGGAGACTGACTGGGTGAGGCGTGGGAGTGCAGTTTGGGTAGTTTGGGTGAGTGAATGGTAGGGTTGAGGATAGAAAGGAGTAAACTGAAGAGGAAGCAGCAATATTCTTCACTGCTGTTTTCTTGTCCCAGTGAATGCATGACTGAATTAGGCAATTTGGTTCTTTTGCAGATATCTGGTGGGTTTTGAGTCATTCCATCACATCAGATGATTCTAATCACTTCTTCAATGCTTAATTTTGCTAGACTGTGTAACTTTGGAATAGTCAAATAGTAGTTAGGTTTTTAAGTCAGAAAGGAAAGATAAAGTATTAACAGTTTGTTTACTGGGCATCTAGCCAGTATAAAACTGGTAAGACGATCCTCTTTTTCAAAGCAGACACAGGTTCAGCTAAAATTATCACATAAATCACCTCTTAAAGTCCAACTCTAAGTCTTTAGGATTCTCTCTGCATCAGATCTCTATTATATGGTCCTCCCTATCCATCCACACCACTTCTCTGTGTTTTCCTCTTTCATCCTAACTCTCAGAACATTATTTTTTTTGGTCTTGGCAAGTGTCTTTTATTAACTGCAAGCTTTCACAGCCTGTCCCTTTCCCACATGTCATCCTCTATCTTTTGTAGCAAGTAGTTGGGTCCTTTCTCTCATCAGCTGAATACATCAATATTTTACAGCCACTTGTTGAATTTTCAGAAAAGCATCTTATTTTCTTTCATTGTCCTCTTATTTACTTTCATTGTCCTCTTATTTACTTTGTTTCCTTTGCTTTTGTCCCAGGTCTCCTAAATATCCACAGGAGTATATCATCTTTCTTTTTCAAACCTTCCCTAATGATTATGCCTTGTTGTGATGAATACTGAGACCACTGTCTATCATACTCCATCTGTCTGTGTCTCTCATCTCCTGTCTTATATTTAGATGTTTGTGCATCTGTATTCTGTTTAAACACAATACATATTGAACCTAACTCAACAGGATTCTAGTTCATGTATCGGCCTTGCAGCCTAGTAATAATCATAATATATGAATGTTGACCATCTGTATGCTTGGCTCTCTACAGCCTCCGGAGCCAGTCTAGCAGCCAAGAATAGCTGAAGTGCCACAGCAGTCCTAATGAGCCCCATGCAAGGAAAGAAATTTCATTCTGGTTCTACATTCTGCAAAGACTTCCCTCAAGTCAGACCTGTCCTGATGGTTGGGTGTGCTGGCTTTACAAATCTTTATACAACCTTAAAGTGTAGGAATTCATTTAATGTGAAACAAAGGTGTGTGGAGCAGCTGCATGGCTGTAACAAATCGCTGAGCTGTGGGAGATGAATCTGTGTGTCTCTGCTACCTCACGTGGCTTATGCTTCTTTTTCTGTGGACAGTCAGCACAGTTGTTTTGCATGTCAATAGCTCCATGTGATTAAATTTTTAAGCGCGGCAGTGCAGTAATGGGTTTAGTGTGACAATGTTGGGACAGTGAGGGCTGGTTGCTCTGCAAGGGAAGGTGAGCCACGGGTAGAGCATGATACCAAGGCAGGTGGGGGCAGAGACCTCACCAAGAAGAAGCAGGATGTGAAGCAGCATATTTGGTTCATGATCAGGGCCAGAGACAGTGATCAGGGTCAGACATAGTCCGGTGATCACGCAGCAAGTCCGTAGTGATGAGGCAGGTCCAAGACCAAGTCAGGAAGCCCAGCCAGCAGGTCCAAGTCAGGATCAGAGTCAGGATTGAGGAGGTAGGAGACCAGGTATAGATGTAGCTGCTGCCCAGCTGCAATGTAGCACAGGTGAGGGCCAGAGGTACAGCCTCAGCTTAAAAGCAGGTCCCAAGGGAAAAGAGAGGGAGGCTCTTGTTTCTAGCTTTCTTCACAACAAGACTTATCAGCAGAGCAGCTGACCTTGGACTCAGCCAGCTAAACTCTAACATAGCCAGCGGTGCTCCTAGAAGAGGGCTGTGCTCTGGGCCTTGATAGCTAACGTACTTGAAACACTGCCAGGGCTCATGACTTTTTTTTCAAGTTGCAAGACTTCAGTAAAGGCTAAAGATGGTCTTAAAAAGGTACCAGCTATGAATGTCAGGCACACGGATAAACCTCTCTGAACTTCTACATTTGCCTAATACCTGGGGTTGAACAACTGCTTAGGGTGATTATAGGAGATTGATTGAACTTTCTGCCTTTTTTTGCCAGAAGATGACACATTTCTCAGAAGGGGGACACTAGAAATTGCCTAGACACTGTGGCCTGTAATGCTTTGTCTTTTGCTATAGGTAGCAAGTGTGTCCTCCTCTTAGGTCACTTACCTTCCCTAATATTAGGATTTAGGAGGAAAGACAGGAGGAAGCTACCCCATGTGGATTGCAGGCTTCAGAGCAACAGGAGAAGCAGAATTTTTTGTTCCCCTGACACAGTTGTTCTTGGTCTGAACTGACATGGGTGGGAGGAACACTGCTAATACAGTATAGAAACTATAATTAATTTCTAAATAAAAAGCATTCTCATTATCATCATGCAAAGCCTTCCCTCCCTAATGGGCTGGTTTACTGTGATGCCTGTAAAAATTGACAGTAGTTAAGCTGCTAGTATGCAAAGATCGCTTCTTGGCATGTTGACCATTCTCGTCATCTCTTCATACTCTATCTTTGTCTCATAGGTCGGTGTTAATACTTTGTGATGTTACCTTTTGTTCTCTGTTTGTGTGTCACTCAAGGCAAGAGTGCCTGTGAGTGGGACTTCTGTGTGCTATGGTAACATAATTTACATTAATTGTCTATCATAAGAGATTATAATAATAGGGAGATCAAAATTAAATTACAACATCAAAATGCACATGTACGGTATCATGACTTTGCTATCTGTCTCATAATTATTGATGCATGAACTTCACGCTTGTGAGTTGTAATGATATTCGCTATTTGTTGCCAAATATTGGTGATCTTTTTTTCAATCTAGCTATAAGTATTAATTAATGTGAGCTGTTAAATTTGTACATATAGTCAGCTTACAGTTATCTGCAGGCAGATTGTTCGTGTCACAGATTAATTGCACCACAGATGCAGGCACAGCTTGGGTTCACCAGGTTTTATTAGCTGCAGCTCAGCTCTGGGTCTGCCAGACCTGTGCTGGCTGCACAAGGAATCGTTTAGATGTCTTTGCAACATGCTTGCCAGTGCTGCTCCCTCATACTTGATTTATTTGCTTGTGTTGCACTGGAGTCACCCGAAGCTAATTTACTGCTTTGCTGCACGCTATGCCCCAGAACTAAGCAGCCCTTACCACAGGTAGTAGTGCAGAGGCACTACAGCTTGTGATTTCAGTACAGGAGTTTTGGTCACATTTTGTGGTAAGGACTACTGGGTTTAAAAACCCTTCAAAACCAGATCGATGTTTTAATCTGTGTTGTCAAATGACAGCCTGCGTGCTCAAGAGCGATTGGGCAAGCCTGCTGTTAGGGAACTGGTGAACTTCCCTGAGGACAGCACGGCTGCCCGCCTAGTTCAAGCAGAGCAGGACAAACCAGCCTAGGTCTATGGCACAAAGCTGTTCCCGTGTCCCTGCTCTGTGTCCTCAGAGCAAGATGCTCCTCAAGAGGCTGCAGAGTCACCATGTGCTTCAAGTAGCGCAGGCTTGTGTGCAACACTCTGTCAGCTGGGGCTTGGTGGCTTTTCCCCTCATTTGCCACAGAAAGCTAACTCTGGGTCCTGCACTTGGGTCACAACAACCCCATGCAGCGCTACAGGCTTGGGGAAGAGTGGCTGGAAAGCTGCCTGGCAGAAAAGGATCTGGGGGTGCTGGTCGACAGCCGGCTGAACGTGCGCCAGCAGTGCGCCCAGGCGGCAAAGAACGCCACACACTTGTATCAGGAATGTGGTGGCCAGCAGGAGCAGGGAGGTGATTGTCCCCCTGTACTCGGCGCTGGTGAGGCCACACCTGGAATCCTGTGTCCAGTTTTGGGCCCCTCAGTACAAGAAAGACATTGAGGTGCTGGAGCGTGTCCAGAGAAGGGCAACGAAGCTGGTGAAGGGTCTGGAGCACAGGCCTTATGAGGAGCGGCTGAGGGAACTGGGGTTGTTTAGCCTAGAGAAGAGGGGGCTGAGGGGAGACCTTATCGCTCTCTACAACTACCTGAAAAGAGGTCATAGTGAGGTGGGTGTTGGTCTCTTCTCCCAAGTGACAAGTGATAGGACCAGAGGAAATGGGCTCAAGTTGCATCAGGGGAGGTTTAGGTTGGATATTAGGAAAAATTTCTTCACCAAAAGGGTTGTCAAGCACTGGAACACTGG